TACATAATGTGTAATGTACTCCTTACATAGCGTGTAATGTACTCCTTACATAGCGTGTAATGTACTCCTTACATAGCGTGTAATGTACTCCTTACATACCGTGTAATGTACTAATTACATAGCGTGTAATGTACTCCTTACATGGCGTGTAATGTACTATACATAGTGTTAATGTACTCTTTATATAGCATGTAATGCACTGTTTAAATAACATTTAAGGTACTTTGCGTGTAGTGTGTAATGCACTCTTTATATAGCATGTAATGCTTTGTTTACATAATGTGTAATGCACAAAATATATTCTATAGACAGTATATAACATACTTTAAAAGCTGTATGTTAATGAGTAGAGTCAAGCCATTTTTCTGAAACTAACACTGGCAGTGTCATTAGTGTAATCATGGATATTTCCTATTGCCTCGTCTTGAGACCTGAGGAAGGTTGCCACTGTAGTTGCTCGAGCTTTTACTGTTATTTCCTCATCTTGAGACCTGAGGAAGGTTGCCACTGTAGTTGCTCGAGCTTTTACTGTTATTTCCTCATCTTGAGACCTGAGGAAGGTTGCCACTGTAGTTGCTCGAGCTTTTACTGTTATTTCCTCATCTTGAGACCTGAGGAAGGTTGCCACCGTAGTTGCTCGAGCTTTTACTGTTTGCTCATAATTCTCACAGAATTCCTTATTTTCTAGCCAGATACAGTACTGAACTGGTACAGCTCAGGGAATGGCTACCAACGATGCAGAAGGAACAGACGTGAACCATCAACCATTAGAGTTGGAAAGACATGAAGAAGATTCATCTGAGGTTATTGAACCTCTAGAGGAACAAGAAGAACAAAGAAACTCTAAAACGATAAAGAGTCGTATAAAAGGAGGGGAAGAAACTGTAGGAGATGCCTCTCGTCATGCACTGTCCTCATCTCAGGAAGCACCTTACAGAAAGATTTACCGGAGTCTATCTGCAAGACTTCCTAAAAGTGCTTCAAAAAAAAAGGAAGAATCCAAGCCTAATGATGGAGCATTCTTTTCAAGGTTAGCTCTTGCTTTACAGAGAAAAGCTCTAAAGCTGACTTCTCATCATAAACAGAATAAAGTACCTGTTACTGAACCTCCACACAAAGAAGAACCATCAACATCAAAAGAAGCACCTGAAGGTGAAGTACGACTGCGAGAAAAACGAATTCGGAGACCTCGACCAATAAGCTTTGGTGAAGAAATTCCTGTTGGTAAGGAAGTGATTCGGTTTATTGATGACAGTGGAAGTGAAATATCAAGTGAAATTGATCTGTATCAATATATCACAGTCAGGAAATGGGAGAATGGTGAAGAAGACAGTGGTCTTGATATTACATCCAAGAAAACAGAAGATAAACAAGAAACTCAAACAGGCAGGAGATTGGAGAATGGTGAAGCAGACAGTGGTCTTGATATTACATCCAAGAAAACAGAAGATATACAAGAAACTCAAACAGTCAGGAAATGGGAGAATGGTGAAGCAGACAGTGGTCTTGATATTACATCCAAGAAAACAGAAGATAAGCAAGAAAAAAGACATGAAACTCAAACATTGATGACAGAGCCCTCTAATATTTTACAAACAGCTTCAGAGAAAGAGGTAAAACATGAAACTCAAACATTAGTGACAGAGCCCTCTAATATTTTACAAACAGCTTCAGAGAAAGGGGTAAAACATGAAACTCAAACATTAGTGACAGAGCCCTCTAATATTTTACAAACAGCTTCAGAGGAAGAAGAAAAACATGAAACTCAAACATTATTAGTGACAGAGCCCTCTAATATTTTACAAACAGCTTCAGAGAAAGAGCTAAAACATGAAACTCAAACAGTAGTCACAGAGCCATCTCATATTTTACCAAAGCTTTCAATCAGAACTAGCTTTAAAGATAAATTCTTTAAGCCATTGTTTAAAAGAAAATCTTCACAAGCAGATGATATTTCTTTAGGAACAGAAGCATGTAAACAAGACACAATGATGGCAAGTGAAACATTGAGCTCAGTACCGAAGACTTCGTCAGATTCATGTTTGAAAAAAAAATTGAATGTTTCAGAACATTTTATGAGAATGGGCAATCGTTTAAAACCTTGGAAAACAAAGGAAGAGCAATCAAGAACAGAAATTACATTTCCAAAAAAGAAACCTCGAAAGAAAAACCAAAAGAAACCAGTGGTACTTCAAGAACCATTTTCATTAAAAGATTCACAGTTTCATAAAGAAGGATCTGAAGTTTCTGCTGGACATGTACCTCCCTCTTCATCTGTCCATTTGTTTAATTCTGCACAAATGCCTTCTGAAGAAAAAGATTCATCATGTTTTGATACGAGTTATTCACATTATTACGAAGTTATAGAACATTTGGAAGAGTCCAAAAATAAAGAAACGGTTGAAAAATATCCATTATTATCAGAATTAGTTAGTGATGACAAGAATAGTCTTGATATAGAACACACCAGTGAAGGAATCCAAGATAATACATTATTAGAAAAATATATCACTGCTGATAATTTTCAAGATAATGTAAGACCAGATAATGATAAGAAAGAACTTATTATGTCAGTAGATGAAAGAAAACAAGCTAAAGATGTGAAAGAAACCATAGTTATGGAGAAGCCAATAGAAGACATAGAGGAAGCTAAAGATGTGAAAGAAACCATAGTTATGGAGAAGCCAACAGAAGACAGAGAGGAAGTTAAAGATGTGAAAGAAACCATAGTTATGGAGAAGCCAACAGCAGAAGAAAATGAAGCTAAAGATATGAAAGAAACCATCATTATGAAAGATTCAATAGAAGAAGGAAAAGAAGCTAAAGATGTGAAAGAAACCATAGTTATAGAGGAGGCAATAGAAAAAGGAGAAGAAGCTGGAGATACGAAAGAAACTACTGTTATGGATAAGGTGATAGAAGAAGAAGCTAATAATTTGAAATATATCATGCTTAATGAGAACCTAGTTGAAAAAGAACTAAGTGAAGAGCTGAAACATATTCAGCATGATCAGTGGATTAGAAGAAAATATTTCCTTCCCAAATCTTCTAAACCTGGTGTTCCACCACGTTCAAAAAAACCTAAATCTGGTTGGCATGCTTTTCCTCAAATTTCTATTGAAGATAAAGCTAAAATCCTGCCTAACAGAACAGCAAGACCTGTAAGTCCAGTCGATAAAACAACAAGATCAGTAAGTCCAGAACTTAAAACTAGAAAACCAGGTAGTTTCATGGAAAGATCAGTGAGTCCCGTTAGTAAACCAGAGAGATCAACTAGCCCTTCTTATAGTACAGAAAGAACAATTAGTTCTTCATATAAATCAGAGAGAACACCAAGTCCCGTAAGCAAGAAGGATAATGAAGAACCAGCAATTTTGATCTCGTCGGATGTTAAACCTATCCGACCCCTGCGACACTTTATACCACAAGTTAATCTAGATAAGTATACCACTGCTCAGATCGAAGCAAGTACTTCTTCAGGGGCTGGAAATCATTTATCTGAGGTCACAGGTTATGATGAAATTATTAACAGTGATGACAACAACTTAGTTGAAAATTCTGGGGAGTCTCTTCTTGCTGTTGATTCATCTCCAGGGTTGGCTGATAAAGAAGTTTTGGAAGAAAAACAAAAGTCAGTCAGTTTTGAGGAAGATGTAAAGTGGAGAACTTATAAAACTACAAGTGGAAAAGAAAAAAAGAGGCCTCATACAGTGATGTGGCCTTTTTCTTTCAAGACTCCATATTTGGAAAAGTTTCAGAAGTTTTCAACTACAGTTTTAAAGCCTTCAACATTTCCTCATTCATCATCAAAAAAGAAAACACCCCCTCAACGCCCACCTCCACCAAAAATAAAGCTAAAGGATGCAGCTGTTCAATATGAGGAAAATGAGTCACAACAGAGTCATGATAATTCCCTAACTATGGAACCAAAAGTAGAAGTTAAATTGTTATCAGTTGAAAGCGAAAAGAAGAATGTAAAAATAGAAGATCAAATCACTGAACATCCTAATGTCGAAGCATTCCCAAACAGTGAAGGAAAGGAAGTATTATCATATGATCATGGTACAAATGAACAAATCTCCAGATCTTCTTCACAAGAAAGACAAACAATAGGCACGTCGGAGAAAGAGGACAAAGAGGTAGATGATATATTATCGGATAGCGTGAGTAAAGAGACTGATTTAAAAACTTTGTTGGAAGACAAAAATAAAGTTGAAAATGCTTTCATAAAAAATACGAGTGTTTTAAAATACTCTAAACCTCAAAGACCACCTCCTCCTGATTATAGTTCTCTTAAAAAAAAAATCAGTCCAAGTCCACAAATACCTAGATCTATCTCCCCAAAGTCCATGGGAGAAAACCTATTTCAGGAAACTAAATCCGTTTCTCCCACTGTTTTAAAAACAGGAAGACAGCCAAACCCGCCACCTCGAGCAAAACGACAGCGGTCAAAAACAGTAGAAATTTCAAAAGGAGTATGGAAAAAAGATGAAGCAAAAGTTATTAGAAGCCAATCATTTGATAAACATGATATCAAAAAAAAGAGTAAATCTCAAGATAAAACATCTACAAATGATCTGATACTTAAATCATTGTATACACAAGTTCAAAAGGTACCAGGGTCAATGAAATTCTACTCTAATGTAGAAAATGGTAAGAAACTTGATGAATATCCAAAAATGAAGTTTGGTGTACTTCGTCCACCTCCTCCTCCACCTCGTTATAAGCCAAAAATAATTCTTTCTCAAGGTGAAAATAGTCAAAACATTGATCCAACTCATGCTGGTGACAAGTGCTCATCAGGATTGAAAGAAATAGAGTTTGAGACAAGTGTCAAAGAGCATGCAGAAATAGCAGCATCTGTGGAATTACCATTTACCCAAGATGCTTCAGAAGAAAGCCAGGTAAAGGTGAAAACAAAGCCTGCTGAGACAAACCTGACATCATCTGAACAATCAGAAGAGCTGTTAACAAAGGAGAACCACACGCATGAACTTCATTTAGAGAGACTCAAACCTTCTAACAGTTTCTGTGATACAGGGAAAGACATGAATATTGAAAATCATCAGCACCAATTTCAAGAAACAGGAGACAGTAAGGTTCAAATACCTGATGAGGAGTCAAAGTCAAAATTACAAAATCCAAAGGACGAGGGAATCGGGCCATATATTGTAGAAGAAATTTCAGAAACAAAATTGTATGATGAAAGTTGTTTTCCAGAATGTGTTAAAGAGGATGAAAAGAACTTTCATCAGAGTTCTGGAGATGGTGTTGATGATACTTTATGCATCTCTGACAGTAAATGGACTTCAAGTTTAGGTTCCACTCAGAAACACATAAAAGAACGAACTGAGGAACACAAACAGCACAGAGCTTCACAGTTGTTTTCTGATGTCCCTGAAGCTAAAGAGGATGCTAAAACTGATGACCTGTCATATCCATCCTCTGATTGTAAGGAAAAATCATTAAACAAAACAAGAGTTGAACAAAGGGACTTGAGTAAGCTTGATGAAGATTTTCAAGAGAAACTAAGACTTATTCTGGAGAAACACACACAAAAAGGACAAAGTGAGGTTGGAAAAGATAAAAATGTGTACGGAGAAAGAAGAAAAGAGAAAACAGTTTACCAACGAGAGAGCAAACCTAAAATAAAAACTTCACCAGAGTTTCCTAGCTGTGATATAGAAGTGAGAAAAGCAAGAGAAAATTCCTCTGGATTGATGTTTAGTAGCTGGCAAGAGGATGATTCTTCAGAAGAAAGTGATAATGAAATCCTGTCGCTATCTCCAAGTATTAATACTGAAGACAAGAAAAAAAGCAAAGTTTTCTCTATTGCCCAGAAAATCATGACTTCGGAAAAAGTGTTTGTTGACAACCTCAGACTATTAAATGAGGTTAGTTTCATCATTTGTACTTAAAAACACTAGATGGAGACTGTTATGTATTAAATAAGTATGGTTTTAATTTAATACCAACTAACAGGTTATAGGATTTTGTTAAAAAGGAATCTAAATATTTTCCCGGTACCAGAAAACGGAAACTGATGTTCAATATTATTATTTGTTTTGATGACTTACAGTTACTGCTTTACATAAGATTATGTAATCAAGTCTTGAAGTGTATATTTTGATGAAGATAGGTGTTCTTCAAAGTAGGGGTTATCCTTTAGTAGATCTGTTAGAAGTACCATGTTGTCACAATAAACCAACTGTTAGAAGTACCTTGTTGTCACAATAAACCAGGTGTTAGAAGTA